TTACTCCAGAGAGACAATGAGAGAGAGTGCACTCATGAATGGGGAGAGCAGCAGAGGAAGAGGGAGACAGAGAATCCACAAGAGGACTTCCCTCTGAGGTGGGGAGCCTGGTGCTGGCTCCAGCCCAGGCCCCTGAGATTATGACCTCAGCCAAAACCAAGAGTCTGAAGCTCAACCAACTGAGCCACTCAGGTGCCCCAATAATTTCAAAAATAGTACAACTAGTACAGTTTTGATGAAGGAGGAGATATGTGTGTATAACAGCAGGAGTTACTTCCTGGAGAATCAGAGGACTAATGGTAAACAGAGTAAGCGTTCGAGTTCAGACTTAATTCAAGTTTATTTTGTCAGTGGGACCTGAAGTCTTTCCATAATTATAACCTAAAATAACACATTTGAGAAATTATAAACACAGGCAAAATATTTAATTTGTTGATCTTTCATGGGCATGAAAGATGACATGCAGTAAGGAACTATATATAAAATACATGTATTTGAAGATATGTTTTAAGATGCTGAATGAAGTTTAATCTGTCATTTATCTTTCCTTTCATAATGTAGTGATTCTTCTGCTTATCTGTTTCTACATTAGCACCAGCCACGATCACGTATTGATTCTTTGTGTGCCTAGTTACACTAAATGCTCTATGGTTGTGATTTCCCCACATGTCAATCTTCTATTGTTTGGCTTATCACATCCTAATCACAGGCTACTGTGAGATGGTTATTTAAGTGTCAACAAATTATCCATGTAAAAGGAGGTAAATAGACACTTGTTTTCTCAAGCAAACTTCTACTTAGTTCAAGGAACTAGCTCTTTCTGAAAGGCAGATTTCATATTTTGAATATCCTTAATATGAGTGCATTTTACCCAGTTCAACAATTTGATTCAGCCAACACTGACTGATTCTATGTTTGTAGAAGGCACCATGCTGGGCCTTTGGAAGATGCAGATTTTTTGCTAAAAGCAGCCTCAGTGCGCCAAGGGCAGGGCAGCTGGCCAAAGTTGAATCTTAGTCTAGAAGAAGATTCAGAGGATCCTGATAAAATCTGGCAAAGGAGGGAAGCTTTGTCCAACCCACCCCAACACATTGTGTTGTTTGTACCCTTGTGTCTTTGACCCAGCTGTGTCCTCTGTCAGAAATGTCATTCGGCTTTCCTTGGAACAAAAACTACATGTCCTTCCTACCAAACATTTATTTTACATTTATGTTCACATTAGTGTGACTGGACTTGACTTTGACACTTGCAACAGAGCTCACTGTCTATCCTCTTTTGAAGCATTTTTCTTAATATTTTGAAATTGTTTGTTAACATTTATGTGTCTATATTTAGAAACTCTAAGACCCTAACGGTCAGGGACTTGTTGTTATAGCACATGGCATGGTGGCTCGGACAAATAGTGCTGAGAATACTGGATAATCTTTTAGAAAAAAGACAATATTTGATCCATATCTAATACCGTATTTAAGAGTGAGCTCTAAACACATGATTTAATACAAAAATGACCACATACTGAGGCTAAAAGAAAAAGGTGAATTTCTACATAACTTCGGTGTATGGGAAGACTTTCTAAGTACGACTTAAAAATCCTGATGCCACAAAGAAAAGTTACCTAATTTAATTTGACAATATTAAAATACTTTTGCATGGCTAAATCACCACAAGTAGGGTCAAAATACAAATGAAATAGTGAGAGAAATATATGTAACTTTCATTACATATACAGGACTATTAGTCCCAACATTTAAAAAAAACTATTAAAATTGAGGGATGAAGCTATGGTAAATGCACACATTGGAACGGTAGGCAGCTATAAACTACACTGAACAAAACAACTTTAAACTAATGTTGACTGGATTGTAATCTACTCAGTAAGAAAGAATATAGTCTAGGGGCACCTGGGTGGCTCAGTCGTTAAGCGTCTGCCTTTGGCTCAGGTCATGATGCCAGAGTTCTGGGATCGAGCCCCACATCAGACTCCCTGCTCAGCGGGAAACCTGCTTCTCCCTCTCCCACTCCCCCTGCTGGTGTTCCCTCTTTCGCTGTCTCTCTGTCAAAATAAATAAAATCTTTTTAAAAAAGAAAGAATATAGTCTAAAGATAAATATAGTAAACTAACTTTTATGTTTAAGACAAGAGAAAGGGGGGAGAGAGAGTAGAAATATAAATCTATCTGCATTCCTTTGCAAAAGAAAAGGAGAGGAGGGAAAAAACAGAATAATGTGATTATCTATAAGGCTGTTTTTGAATAACATGAAGGTCAGGGAAACAAATGAAGGCCTATGGATTTCTGTATTTACATAGTTTGGTTTTCCAAAGCATGTTAGTATTTTACATAAAAATTATATTTAAAACAAAAATAATGGAGAAGAAAACTCTAAAATGGAATACAAACAGAAAGAAGAGAACCAAAAATGTTTCTTTCTTTCTTTTTAAAGATTTATTTATTTGAGAGAGAGAATGAACGGTGGGGAGGGGCAGAGGGAGAGAGAGAGAGAGAGAGAGAGAGAGAGAAGCAGTCTCCCTGCTGAGCAGGAAGCCTGATGCCTGCTTGATCACAGGATGCTGAGATAATGAACTGAGCTGAAGGCAGACGCTTAACCAACTGAGTCACCCAGGCGCCCCCAAAATGTTTTCAAATGTTGTAACATAATTGCAGTGTACCAAAAAACATCAGTGAACACAACTGCATTTTGAACATATTGCTTTGAATATCTGTCTTGTCAGTCTAAAGAAAAAAAGTACCGCAAAAAGTCTATTTTTTGAGAAGACTATTTTTTGAGTAGTTTGTTGGGTAGGGCTGATATTCACTGTTGGTGGATGAGTATATGGTAACCTTTTTTCAGTGCATAGTACGATTGAGCAAATGAGTAAATATACCAAAGATGTTGAAAGGAGATTTCTTAATCTTAGAAGGGGAATTTACTAATGTGGAAATGGGGAGGCTTAAAATCACCTCTGTGGTGGTGTATTGGAATGGAAGGTATCAGTATGAATTCACAATTTTTCACAAATACAAATATGGCAATGTACATCTGTAATACTTATATCCATATAAATATCTATTTAATAACTCTGTCCACTGAGGAGCATTTATAAACAGTGGAGCTAAATTAGCAATGAGCACTTCTGTCAACCACATCCAGGTTTCTAAATACCATTTCTTACTAAAAGGTCTCTTTGAGAAATGGAAGATTTTAAGACAGAGACAAGAAAAGTACAAGAGGAGTCTGGAAATTGTGTGCAAGAAATAAAGAAAAAGTTCCAAAATGGTTGAGGTTAAGCAGGAGTAACCTGATACATGATGAGAGTAAGAGATGATAGACCACTGAAGAAATATAAATCTATGAATAAATAATGATAACAAACTGATACAGACAGATGATAGGTATATAGATTGATGGATGGATGGATGGATGGATGGATGGATTGACAACTAGATAGATGGGGCAAAGGAAAGGTTTTTGTAACAATACAATGCAACATGAAAAAAAGAAAGAAAAATGCAGTTAAAATCACTAATTGGCCACCAGGACAGTAATAACTGCTTCAGGTAAGAAGTATAAAAGATGATAAAATGAGTGAGTGAAATTTGGTAGGAACAAAATATTTACACAGCTTCAAAATGTCTCCCATGTCTTACTTCCTAATTATAGGGTAAAAAATAGCAACTTTACAGTGGAGAATCTTGGTGAACACCACCTTAAACAAAGGATAGAGTTATCATCTCTAATGACAGGACCATCTGACATCATGTACTTCCCATTGTGATTCACTAGATGAAATCAACACCACCTTTGTGGTATTCCCACCATACTCCCTAGTAGCCTGAAGTATAATGAGAGACATCAGGCAAACCCAACTTGGGATCCATCATTCAAAATAAACAGTCATATCAATGACATGAAAGACAGGGGCTGAGAACCAATCCTCACTAAAGGAGATGAATAGACCTGATAACTCCATGCAATGTGTGATCCTGGATTGCCTCCTGCACCAGCAAATTCATATCACAACAGAGGATATTAATCAGACAATTGGAGGGATTGGAATAAGGTTTGTAGATGAAGTAATGTGATCGCATCAATATTAAATGGTGCCTTCCTAATGCAGATTAATTTTCTCACTGGGAAGATAGAATACCTGAACAGATGATAATTGTGAATGCACATGAATGCAATCACATAGTATAAGGGAAAACTGGAATAATGTTGGGAGAGTTTTACAACCTTTCTAATGAATAAGTTCAAACATTTATAAGACTAGAACTTCTTGGTTCCTACTGCCCAGTCCTATTTTGTGATGCCCATTCAGAATTACAGAGTGGCCTTTAGAGGGTTCAGTGCTTCAGGTCAAGACCTGGCTCTCTAGGGGGGGCTTAACACTTAGGAGACACTAGGACTTGTTACCAATAGTTAGTATCCCAAGAAACTCTCTGAGCAATAAATGTAGGTAATTTTCTTTTGAGAATCAGCTTGTGGGATCTTGAGATTGGAATACTAGCAAAGATTTTAAGCAGGTACCTGGGGAAATGGAACATGGGGATGTCACAATGAGGTCAGTAGAGCAGTTAGAAAGTGGAAAATTCATAAAAAGTTCCCTAAAATGGAGATTGAACTGAGTCACCTGGGGGTAGAACTATCTTGGAAGTGACTTCCTAAGGTCCCTACCATTCCTGGTTCAGAGAATCTTCTCTATGGAGACTGTGGTGATATCAGGGGCAGAGAGGGGTTAAGGAGAGCTCACTAACCCCTCTTTCCCATTGCTCCAGGTTAGGAAGAGAGAGGACAGATTAACCAGTAGAGTAAGCACCTAGGAGGAGGAGCAGAAGGGCCAGAAGTGACAAACAGCAGAGAAGACAGAAGGATCCACCCCTCTCCTCTTCACAGCTGCCTGCCAGCACATTTCCTTGGCTGCCAGTGAAGCACGTGTCCCCAGAGCCCACAGGTCACTGTGCAGGGCTCAGGACACAGGGCTCTGGGCACAGGCCTGGGCGACACAGCTGGTACAGGAGCTAGCATGGTGGGGAAGAGAATGTTGTTGCTAGCAGGCTTCCTTCTGCTGGGGTTCCTGCTCTCAGAGACCACCAAAATTCTGACTGTATCCTCACTGGGTGAGTGTTTGGCAGGAGAATCAGAGACAGCTGCATCCCAGGCACCTCAGCCAGGACTCAGGCACACACCCATGGGTCAGATGGTCATTCTATGTGGTTTTCCATACAGGGCTTGGGTCCCAGGTTAGAGGAGGGAGAAGAGAGAGTGGGCCTGGAGTGGCAGAGTGGGGTCCCTCCTGCTGGTGGTGGAGAAGTTAGTTGTGGAGAAATCAGTGGTGTCCTTTCCTCTCATTTTATCTGCTCTGGAAGTGCTTCCCATTGTACATAGCTTGGGCCAGAATTTAGATCCAGTGCTGACCTGGAGACCTTAAGTCATCTACTCCAATGGAGGATACTTTCAGAGGCACACCCTAAAAATCTGGGGTGCAGAATAGGTGCCAGTAGAAAGTGGAAGTTGTGGTCAGTTTTGGGCTCCTGGAGGCCAAGGACCGGGCCTCAGAGCTGGAGGAGGCAGCACAGACTGAAAATGTGTCATCAATAGGATACCTGGAGGACTGATGGGGCAGAGGAAGGGGCCCCAGGACAACAATCAAGTTCTTGAGAGCCCCCCTCTCTTTTGCCCTTGCTGCTGGAAGGTTTTGAAGGACAGTGAAGCAGTTGGTTTTGTCTAAGTTTTATCCCCCTACTTTTCCCCAAAGGGAACAGAAGGGAAACAGGAACATTTATTAGGATAATGAGTCATCATAGGATGGATTTTCCCCATGAATTTTTTTGATCCATTGTGAAAGGATAGGGGGCTCCCAGGATCACTTTTAGATCCCTCTGAATCTGAGGATCCTAGAGCTGGAAAAAACCACAAATTTCATCTAATTGGGCAATAAGTGCAGGCATCCCCCTTTTATTTCCTGACAGGGAACCTGAGGGTCAGGGAAATTAGGAGCCTTTTGCAGGAGCACATCAGACCTCCCTGACGGACACACTCAGACTTTACTCACTGTTTCTTACCTCAAACCTGTCCTCTTCTCCAATCTCTACTCTTCACAGTAGGGAATTCCTAAAAATCAGTATTTAAAAAACTGTTTTCTATTTTCAATCTAGTTTTTAATGACAGAGGTAGCAGGAAAAAAGAGCTTCCTCACTGCTTGAAAATACGTGTCCTCTGGATTCTGGGAGGGAGCAGGTGTGGTTTAGAAGCGCTGGAAGCCCCGTCTCTGGCCCAGAATGCATTGGGCTCACCAAGACTCTCAGTAATGGCTGCCTCTGTGGGATGGCTTCTCCCTTGTATCCATTTCTTCCACGGATTTAATGTGAGCCAGAGAAGGCAGTATGAGGGAGTAGGGGTTTGTGTTTTATATAACTGGTGTTACCTCAGGCAAGACAAGTATAGATATAAAAAACTAATTTCCACAGATACACACTATTACTGTAGTCCGACATCCCTCTATGCCAACCCAATCATCATGAGATCTTCATCTTCCAAATAATCCCCACTTCCCACGTGGGCAAATTCTATTGCTTTCCTCCTACTTTGACTTTTTCTGCTGCTGACCCCATAGATTCAACAAAAATCCCCATTATGGCTTATGGTCTTAACACAGTCATTGCAGTGATAGAACTTGTACCTCCCCAGAGGATCAAGCTTCTCTTTCATTAGAATCTCAGGAATCTTAGGATGGGTGTTACCCCAGTCTATCATGTGCAGGATCCTGTAGTTCCTCCCAAGGGCCCACCATTATCCTGAATGCCTTAATTTGATGTTCAGCAATTTTCAAGCTCCAACCGGAAACATCCTGCCAAATATTTTTGAATCTCAAAGATTTTGATTCTAAGTGGTGGGTCTACCTCCTTCTGCTCCAATGGCCATTTCTTGGACTGATATTCAAGTTCCCAGTTCCTGTCTGACTCTAGCATAAATTTCCAAAGGGAAGGATTCCATAAAGAGCTCTGACCAATAAGAACCCTTCCCACTCCCATACACAGTACTGTGCCTAATTTCCACTCTGTCCCCATAAGGGCTGGCTAAAATCAGTATGTACCTAGGATCAGGAACTCCTAAGGCCTAAGAAGAAAAACTTGTCACACTGACATGGAGACCATGAGTCACAAAAGGAAATCTTGATGGAGGACTTCCACAGGTTAAGATTTGGGCAGACACTGTGTAGGTGTCTTGGCTGCTGCTTACCCAAAGTGAGACAGAGGAACTGAAGAAACTCATTTTCCTCTGTTCACCATCCACTCTCTGCCCTCTTGCCTTGGATTTATCTATCCACCACATCAATTTCAGACCCTCTGCTCTCATCTTTACAAAATGAAATTTCATATTTTTCCTAGGTGGAAGCCATTATCTACTGCTGGACCGGGTATCTCAGATTCTTCAAGATCATGGTCATAATGTCAGTATGCTTCTTTATGGAGAAGAATTTTTAATCCCAGGTATGTTTTTTTCTTTTGTTTTTTGTTTTTGTAATCATTGAATTCTTCTATCCCAGAGAGACAATGTCTTCTATATAGCTCTGCTTAGCATAAAATCTGTTTGAATCTAGCTATATTGAATTAAGGGGAAAAATGTGTGGGCGTATGTTTATGTTACCTGCTGGATATCATATTAGGATCATAGACCTGGCCTTCACATGCCATAACTCCATGTTTTACCCCCTCAGCTAGGTGTCACTTCATTTAGGCAAAACTCTACATATCATTATTGATCATTTTGATAACTACTACTCTGTGGTATGACTTTAATTGTGTTGAACAGAAGTGTTCAGCCATATTTATAGTTTCTGTTATGTAAGGAGAGCTGCTCTTCCTGTTTCAGAGGTTACTTTCTACTCCTGTTATGAGACCTGAACTTTAAGAAAGCTTTTTAAAAGGATCTCTTTTAATCATGTCCTAGGATCAGAATCTATCAGTGAGATGACCCTATATTCTTGAGGCGTCACTGGCAGCCCATGACTTGTGCATAGTGATGTCAGAAGTTCTCGAGTCCTTGGGGTAAATACCCAGCAGTGCAATTGCTGAGTCATAGGGTAGCTCTATTTTTAACTTCTTGAGGAACCTCCATATTGTTTTCCAGAGTGGCTGCACCAGCTTGCATTCCCACCAACAACGTAAGAGGGTTTCCCTTTCTCCACATCCTTGCCAACATTTGTTGTTCCCTGTCTTAATTTTAGCCATTCTAACTGATGTAAGGTGTTATACACAACCACTGAATCAATGAATATTATATCAGAAACTAATGATGTATTATATTTTGGCTAATTGAATTTAAATTTAAAAAAATCCAAAAAGTTTGTAGCTAAGATGAAGCTCATCAATCTTGTCAAGTCTTCTCGGTTGACAGATAAGGACACAGAGAACTCAAAAGTTTTGTTCAAGTCCACACAGCAGGTTAATAATAGAGTGGGTGGATCTGGAACTTTAAGCTCTGGGTTTCTCATTCAGAATTGCTGAAGCTTTAATTTAAAAAAACATCCAAGGGGCGCCTGGGTGGCTCAGTTGGTTGGGCGACTGCCTTCGGCTCCGGTCGTGATCCTGGAGTCCCGGGATCGAGTCCCGCATCGGGCTCCCTGCTCAGCGGGGAGTCTGCTTCTCCCTCTGATCCTCCCCCATCTCATGCTCTCTCTCTGTCTCATTCTCTCTCTCAAATAAATAAATAAAATCTTTAAAAAAAAATCCAAAATTAATCACTTTTGATGAAAAACAAGTCTGAGCAATTATGAAATTCTGAAGATGAACTTCAGGCTCTGTTGCTGTTCAATCAACCTCTAGATCAGGTTCACACTAGATATCCTTTCTGTACACATTCCTTTGTATCTGCCTTATCAGTCTGATTATGTATTTGCTTTGACTGCCAACCATGGTAATTGTAGTCCATCATCATTTCATTTGGTGGTTCCCAGGGATTGAGGAACTGCTGAAAGCTTGAGACCCTCTACCACTTTAACACACATACCCACACTCAAACTACAAACCATCCAGGGTACCCATGGATTCCCTTAGTTTTATTCTTGGTTCCAAGTTTTAATAGTCCAGAATTTCTTGCAATATTTACCGTTCACTGGGAGTTTCTGAGGTTTTGAAATGGATTATTTATTTTTCTCTTCAGCAGTAGACTTTGGTAGAGGTCTGCAAATAAGGAAACATGTGATTGGATTATTTTTGTTGACCTGATTCAACATTTAGTATCGAAACTTTTAAACCTGTATTAAATATCTCTTGGATAATCTCCTTAGGGTTTTTATTTACAACTTTAATGAATAAATGACTTCAGAAATACTGTAACCTCAGTTTCTAATACTGAGTTGTAAGATTATTTCAATAAGTAATTGAAATCACAGGTATAAGATGCCACCCTACAGCAGACTTAAATGTCTGCAGTTCTGACTCTTCCTTTTCCTAAGAGAGCTTGCTCTACCTCTCCGTCTACCAGGTAGACATTCTCCAAGTGACAGGTCTTCTTTGTTTTGGGGGATCTGTGCAGTTACATCATTGATTCAGAGGCTTGCCTACAAACACTGAAGTAAAGTTTTGCCTAGAGGTACATTATTGGGACTAGGTAGTTCTACCCCTTTCAGCCAGTTAGTTCTGCTTTTGTTGGGTATGGAGGTAGGAGAGCAAATCAGCAGCTACATTAGGAAGCCCTTGTGTTGGAATTCAGGCTTTGATTGGACTCATGGGCTCCTCAGATAATCTATCAAGTAGTGCTCACCTGAGCCCTGGGAGTTAAAAAACCCCGTATCTTAGTCTGCTGTTATCAGGGTGAGGTCAATTTCTTTCTTTCTCTCCTTTTTTAAAGAAGAAATTTATTTATTTATTTGAGAGAGAGAGAGTGAGAGAGAGCGAGTGAAGGGGAGATGCAGAGGGGGAGGGAGAGAATCCCAAGCTGACTCTGCTGAGCATGGAGCTGATGCCTGGCTTCATCTCAGGAATCTGAGATCATGACCTGAGCCGAAACCAACAGTTGGACGCTTAACCAACTGAGACACCCAGGTGACCCCAGGTCAAATCTTATTACTGGGGTTTATAGAGTTTAATAAATTACAACCACCTTTCCCTCTGAATTTTAGAACCTATTGAGAGAAGGTTACAGGATCTAGCTGATCAGGGAGCTTTCCTTTAGATCTTCATTAACTGTCAAGGCTGAGTAGTGGCTTGAAAAGAGGCTCTGTATAACCTCTGGGTTTTGTTCTGTTTATTCTTTATGGTGCCTTGGGTAGTTTCCTCCCATGTTTGCATTGACTATTCTCAGGAAGACCCCAACCCCAGAGCTTTCTCTCCCTACAGCTCTCTTGTGGTATTCTGGTATTCTGCCCTGTGAATTCTAGCTGCCATGTCCTCCCCCAAATCTGAATTGCTCCCTCGGGGAGATGACCAGACCACATCTGGGTTTCTCGTCCATGAGCTGTATCCTGGACGTTTTCTCCAGCCATCCATGAATGTTGTGTGCTACCTGGGGTGCAATGTCTAAAAACCATTTTAACATGTATTTGGTCTGGTTTTATTTAGTTGTTTAAAGCAGGAATTTCAATATGGTCCTGTGGCCTTCTTGTGCCACAGACTGAAGTTCCTTATCTTCATTATTTAAATCTTCGTATTTAAGTAATATTGGCATATAATAAACTGCATATATTTAAAATATACATGTTGATATATTTGGACATATACATATGCTGATATATATATATACATATATGTATACACACACACACATGTGTGTGTGTATACCTGTGAAACCATCAACATAATCAAGATAACAAATATATTTGTTCCTCCACCAGAAGATTTCTAATGTCCTTTTGCAATCTCTCCTCCAGGCCCTCCCACCTTTCTATTCCCCACTGCCAGTCAATCCTTAATATGTCACCATGTGTTAGAGTGTATCACGTAGATTTTATATAAATGAGATCACAATCATGTACCGTTATTTTGGTTTATTATGCTCAGCAAAAAATATATATTTTTGAATTTTTAAAATTTATTTTTCTTTTAAAGTTTTTATTCATTTGAGAGAGCGAGAGCTCATATATAAGAGAGAGAGAGCACAAGGTGGGGGAGGGACTGAGGAAGAGGGAGAGAGGGAAAAGTAGGCTCCCTGCTGAGCAGGGAGCCAGATGTGGGGCTCCATTCCAGGACCCTGGGATGATGGACCTGAGCCAAAGACAGATGTTTAACTGACTGAGCATTCCAGGGGTCCATCAGCAAAAAATATTTTGAGTTTCCTATATAGCGTGTATATGCATAGTTCATTCCCTTTTATTGCTGAATAGTGTTCTATGCATGAATTACCACAATGTGTTTATTTATTTGCTTGTTGATGGGCATTAGGATTGTCTCCTGTAAAAAAAAAAAAAAAAAAAGGATTGTCTCCTGTTTTGAGCTATTACAAATAAACCTGCTCTGAAGAGTTGTGTACAAGCTTTTGTATGAATATGTACTATCTTTTCTCCAAATTAATTGGTAGGAGTACAGTGGCTGAACCATAGTTTCAGTATATGTTTAAGTTTTTAAGAAATGGCCACACACTTTCCCAGGAGGCTGTAACATTCTGCATTCTCACCAGAAGTGACTGCAAGTTCCATGCATACCACATCCTTGTCAATACTTGGTGTGGTTAGTCTTTTTACTTTTAGCCATTGTTGTGTGGGTATATTTCATGGTGGTTTTTATATGCATTTCCTTTATTACTAATGATGCTATGCATTTTTTAATGTGCTTATTTGTCAACCATGTATCTTCACAGATGAAGTGTTTCCCAAATTTTGCCCATTTTTAAATTGGGCCATTTTTTTCTTATTCTAGAGTCTTCAGAGTTCTTGACATATATTTTTGATATAAGTATTTTATCAGGTATAAATCTGCAAATATTTTTTCCCAGTCCATGACTTATCTTTTTACTCTTACCAGTGTCTTTTGAAGAGCACAATTTTTAATTTGTTGAAGTGTCATTTCATGCTTTTGCTACATGTATTAGTAAGAATATATGATTTTTTTTTTACTTATTTTGTCAAAATAATGAATGGCACTAATTGATTTTCAAATGTTAAACTAAACTTGTATTGTGGGAACAATACCAATTGGTCAAGATGTATTTTCACTTTTATGTAATTTTAGATGTAGTTTGCTTAAATATTTTTTAAAAGATTTTTTTGAGAAAGAGCAAGAGTGAGAGATAATAAGTGGGGCAGGGTGGTGGCAGAGGGAGAGGGAGAGAGAAGAAGACTCCCCACTGAGAAGGAAGTCTGATGCAGGGCTGGATCCCAGGACCCTGAGATCATGACCTGAGCTGAAGGCAGACGCTTAACTGACTGAGCCATCCAGGAGCCCCTAGTTTGCTTAAATTTTGGTTTAAAATTTTATTTCTGTGTCCACATGGGCCATCATTATGTGATTTTCTTTTCTTTTCTTTTTTTTCTTTTCTGGCAATGTTAAACAGTGCAATACTTTCCTGATAGAATAATTAGGTAGTGTTCCTTTTTCAATTTTCCGGAAGAGTTTGGTTAGAATTAGTACTGTTTCTTCCTAAATTGTTTTAGCCACTCCGAGAGACAGTCTCCACCCACCCCAAAGTTAGGTTTGGATGTTGAGGCTTATGGCCTTTTATACACACAAAGAGGTTATAAAATGGTTTATTAGGGGCACCTGGCTGGCTCATTCAACAGCTCGACTCTCCATCTGAGCTTTGTGGGTTCCAGCCCCACTTTGGGTGTAGAGATTACTTCAAAATAAAATCTTTAAAAAAAACCACAATGGTTTATTAATAATATAATCACACTTCACGGAGAGAGTAAAGCAAGTCTCAATCTGGTCCAAACATACACTGAGAGAGCAGGAAAAGGAGGATGCATTTGGGCTTTTATGGTGGTCAGTCTTGGGGCTGGAATGGCTGTTTCCCTTCATGTTTGACTGATGCCCAGAACGTTCTGTGTTTCATTTATTTCAGTTTGAACCTGTTATAAGTAAGTCATTATGGCATTTTATGAGACCTGCTGCCTGAGGCTGGTGAGGGAGTTGAATGTTTCGCTGAATGTCTTGTTTAAAAGACTAGTGTTTGCATGTAGAGAAGGCAATCAGTGCCTTGGTCATGATCAGTAATGTCTGAAAATCTGTAGACGATAAGGAGTCTTGCTTGAGGCTGTGTATTGTGCCTTTGGTGTGTGGAGACACATGTGTAACTTTCATTTATATTTTGGATATCTATATGGCAAGAGATTCTGTGCTCTTTACCCAAATGGAACAACCTCTCCTCTTTACAGGTCTCTTTGGAATGTCTTTTTCTTCTTTAAGTGAACTTTGGTAGTTTCTGTCTTTCTAAGAATTTGTCCACATCATCCATTGTCTAATTGATTGCCATCTAAAGTTCATAGAATTCTCCTATAGTCCTTTTCATTTCGGTGTGGTCATTAGTGGTGTTCCTTCTTTCCTTTCTGGTCCTAATAATTTGTATCTTTCTTGTTTGTGAATTTTCTTGATCTGTTTCAAAGTTTCAAAGAACTGGCTCTGCTTTCATTGATTCCTGTTGGTTTTCTATTTCCAATTTTATTAGTTTCCCTCCAATCTTTGTTAATTCTACCTTCTGTTTTAGGTTTAGTGCACTTTCTTCCCCAGTGTCTTAAGGTGGCAGAATAGGTTATTGATTTGGTAACTTCCTTTTTAATATAGGCATTGAAAGCTGTAAATTTCCTTTTAACTCCTTCTTTTGGCACATCACATAAGTTTTGGTATGTTGTATACTCATTTTTTTTTGTCTCTATGTATTTTATGATTTCCCTTGTGATTTCTTTTTGATACATGAGTTATTTAAAAGGATGTTGTTTAATTTCCATAATTTGTGAATTTTCCGGTTTTCTGTCTGTTGTTGATTTCTAACTTTATCCTGGTGTGGTCAGATAGCCTGTGATAAGTATGTTTTAACATCTATTGAGACTTATTTGTGGCTGAACAATGGACTCTGCTGAAAAATGTCCCAAGTACCCTTGGAAGAATGTGTATGCTGTTGTTCGGTAGAGTGTTTTATATATGTCTGCTACATCTAGTGGATCAATGTGTGTAAGTCTTCTATTTCCTTACTGATCTTCTTTCTGGTTTTCTATCCATTATTGAGAGTGGATGTTGAAATTT